AGTTGTCAGTCATTTCCATAATTGCCGGCATGATATTGGATAGTAGGGGATATCTGATTTTAGAAGTTTTCTTTATCGCCTGCATTTCTTTGTCACTTTTATCCGTGGTCTTACTCTTTGTGGTAACTATCATAGGACTCAGCTATCCTTCTTCTGGGGATGTATCTAAAGTAAAGGAAATTAGAATGTCAAAAAATGTTTATATTCCCATGTTCACTTGAACATTATTCACAATAGCCAAATATGGAAACAAGCTAAATGTTCATCAGTGGGTGAATGGGTAAATAAAATGTAGTAGATATACACAATGGGCTATTAGTAAGCCTTAAAAAGGAAAGAAATCCTGACATTTGTTACAACATGGAACCTGGAGGCTATCCTATGAAGAGAAATAAGCCAAACAGAAAGACAAATCGTATACAGCATTGCTTACAAGTGAGATCTACACATAAATACATAAATAAATAAATAATTTTAACTCACAGAAATAAAGAATAGAATGGCAGTTGTCCAGAGCTGGGGAATGAGGGATGTGAGGGAGTGAGGAGGAGATGCTGCTCAAAGCCATGACACTTCAATGATAAAACACATACATTCTGATGACCTAATGTACAGCACAGCAACTGTAGTTAATAATACTGTATTTATATTTGAAATTTGCTAAGATAGTAGCTTTTAAGTGTTCTCAACACACACACACATACACACACACATACACAAAGGCGACTATGTGAGGTGATATAGATGTCAATTAATTTGACTATGGTAATCATTTAATAAAGTATTCTTATATCAAGTCATCACACTGTACACTTTATATACACTTTTTGTTAATTGTACCTTAATAAAACTGAAAAATATAAAATAAAGAATAAAATAAGCATGGACATGCCATGTGACAGACATTCTTGACAACTATTAACATGGACAGAAAAGAGGAGAGAAAGAAGAAAAAAATCAAGTATGCTAAAAGGCATACATTTCAAGAAAGCCTTGAAGATAAAAATAATATTCTAAGTTGTAATTGATTTTAATGGGTAAAGCTCAACCAATGGAAAGGGATATAAAGGCAAAAGGCCAAGTTCCTTCTGTTTCTTTTTACAACAAAGAACTAACCAAGTTTTTTTTTTTTTCTTATAGGACTTTTCGCCTGCATGCTTTTCACATTCTTCAAAATGCAATACAATTTTGTTTTCTTTTATTCCCAATACTTTTCATCCTATGACAACCACCCAACCTGCTTCTTGGTCTCAGAGGCTCTAAATATTAAAGGTCATATGGAGTGTTAATCATCCCAGGACCCCAGACAGATAAGGAGAGTTTCACACTACATGAGAAAACAGAGATAGGACACCCAAGGAGTCTAAGGAGTCTGAGGACAGAGCAGACAACTTCTCAGGTAGGATCAAATTTTTAGTTATATATTTTTCTATGCTTGATTGATCCTGAGACCTTCAAATGAGAGAAGAGGGTACTCACATTTTCTCCACACAACCCCTCTAACAAACAAGAGACAAGAAGGACAGTGTTCTTACCCCTCTCGTAAGATAGGAGAGCTTTGGCTGGGAGAGAGAAGGAGGACATGTTTTTACAGGGTTTCAACTAATGCCCCTGTAGTCATCAAGTACTATTCAGCTCAACCAATGGAAAGGGATATAAAGGCAAAAGGCCAAGTTCCTTCTGTTTCTTTTTACAACAAAGAACTAACCAAGTTTTTTTTTTTTTCTTATAGGACTTTTCGCCTGCATGCTTTTCACATTCTTCAAAATGCAATACAATTTTGTTTTCTTTTATTCCCAATACTTTTCATCCTATGACAACCACCCAACCTGCTTCTTGGTCTCAGAGGCTCTAAATATTAAAGGTCATATGGAGTGTTAATCATCCCAGGACCCCAGACAGATAAGGAGAGTTTCACACTACATGAGAAAACAGAGATAGGACACCCAAGGAGTCTAAGGAGTCTGAGGACAGAGCAGACAACTTCTCAGGTAGGATCAAATTTTTAGTTATATATTTTTCTATGCTTGATTGATCCTGAGACCTTCAAATGAGAGAAGAGGGTACTCACATTTTCTCCACACAACCCCTCTAACAAACAAGAGACAAGAAGGACAGTGTTCTTACCCCTCTCGTAAGATAGGAGAGCTTTGGCTGGGAGAGAGAAGGAGGACATGTTTTTACAGGGTTTCAACTAATGCCCCTGTAGTCATCAAGTACTATTCTGACTTACTCCTTCTTGTGGTCACTGGCTCAAGCTATGTTCACATGGGCCCTCGGACTTAAGCTGGAACATGAATTGCGAAATCGGGATTGTGGAGACATGGGCTAAACATCTCATAAACCGGTCCCTGCTCATACCATGCTTTGTGAGTTCACCTGGAAACACATGCATAGAGGCACTTGGTGTTTCTGCTGGACATTTGGGCACTTCAGAGGTGGTGGTAATTACTGAAGCAGATAGTGGAGCATGAGAAAATAAAGTCTACATAAGTTACCCAATAAATAACATGACCAGACCTGGAGTTTCAGAAGAGCAAAAGAAAAGAATATATTCTTATATAAATAAAAAAGAACATATTCTTATAAAAACTGTTTCAACCTTGAAACAGTTTTTGGAGCAGAGAATATTTGTCACTACTACAGTGTTAGGAAATGAATTTGAAGCTGAGAAGTATCAGTCTCTCCGGACAACTTTACAATCCACATGTAAAATATGAGAAAATTCAAAGGTGCCATATCCCACTTATGGGGAATTTTGTGTTCAGTCTTCATTCTGTAGCACAGCGATTCGGTGGAACTCTAGCGTGTGGCGGGTGCTTGCTCAGGTATCACATTCTTCTTTATAGACGATTCAAGCACTTCATTAAGCATAAGTCACAGTGTTCTCTCAAAGTTACAGTGACTCAAAGCAGAGTATGTTAGGAGTGGGTAAAGAAACCAGACAAAAGTCTATTATACTTCTCCTTTATTTTTGAGATTCTATTATCCCTGATGTAACAAATGGTGAATTACTCTGAAAACAGAAGAAAGTAAGAGGGACAGGCATAGTGAATGAGTAAACAGCCTAGTCTGAGGTTTCCTCTGGGTTAGTAAGTTTTGCATTTCATTCTTCATGTGGAGAGAACCTATGTTTGAGAAACTGTTGAAAGACAAGAGGTTCTTCCACATAAAAGTAAACCCAAATACTGATATATACTTCCAGTTATAGCCTATCTCTTTCTGTGCAGATAGCATGCCCACAAACATGTGAATGTCCCTAAAACCCGCCAGACCTTCTGTAAGAAGTGTGACAAGCACCAACCGCATAAAGTGACACAGGACAAAAAGGGCAGGGATTCTCTGTGTGCTCAGGGCAAGCGGCGTTATGACAGGAAGCAGAGTGACTGTGGTGGACAGACTAAGCCTATTTTCCAGAAAAAGGCAAAAACTACAAAGAAGATGGTGCTGAGGCTTGAATGTGTAGAGCCCAACTGCAGATCTAAGAGGACGCTGGCTATTTCGATATAAGAATTTTGAACTGGGAGGAGATAAGAAAATGGGTCAAGGGATCCAGTTCTAAGCCTCATCTTTTTTATTATGAAGACGACAAAATTGAGGTGAATGTTCACCTCATTTGATCACAGTTGCTCTTTTTGTGAGGGAATAAAATAATCAACAAAATTCTCTTTTGGGGGAAATTTGATTCAAAATTTAAAAAAAAAAAGTAAACCCAAATACCACCTTTTAAAATAAAATTCAAACAGTGTTCAGTCCCCATTCCCATCCCACCCATGAAAGGGAAAATTAACCCAGATTCTCATAAACAGTGAAAATGACAAATTTCAAAACACAACAGATATCAAGTAGATGAATAATTTTTCTCCTAGAGTTGTGGACTCATGACTGCATCCTCTGTCAGTAAGGAGCCTAAGCTTGTTTTCAGAGACTCAGGTTTATATTGCTTCCCAATATCAAAATAGCCTTTGACTCTGGAGTTTTCCAAGGACCCACACATACATACTTGAAGGAATCTCCTTCTTTTCCCTCCTGCCACCCACTAGGAAATATGCCGACATAGTGGACACACTTTAAAGTCATAACTGTTAATAGTTATTTCAGGAAAAACCCTGCCTTCATTCTTCTTCCCTTCTCTGAGAATTTTCATAAAGACACTTGATGAAAATAAACTCTACGCCCTCCCTTTCGCTTCCTTCACACTAAAAGCATTTCAGCCTTAATGGGAGGAGCCACAGTTTCCATGCCTACCACCTCTTACTGGCCAAAGGAGCCCACCTGCTGTATCCCCATTGGCTGGATGGCAGGAGTTGGGGGGGAAGGGACTACAAAAGCCCACACTCAAGAACAAGGGTGTGAGGGGCGCACTGGAGTTCATAGGGGGGTGCTAGTGTGCTAGCTCTCTGCAGAACGACTCACTAGCACTTGGTCTTGTTCCACAGTCACTGAGGGAGAGAAGCAAGAAGTCACTCTTGGGAGCACTGTGACCTGAGTGCATGCCGTCAGAACTGGACTGGTGCTTTGTCTGTCCTGTGCTGTGCCCAGGCCTGTGGTGGTGAGGGCACTATACTCAAGCTTCTGAGAGGGGCTGTGGTCTTCTTCCAGAGGAGAACAGATCCTGCCCAGAGACAGCAGCCATAGCAGCGACATGGGACCAAACACTAAGTGGCTTTGTGGGAACCTCCCAGGAAAGCCCTGCACACCTTAGCACATGAAGGGTCTGAGCCCCAGGCCACCTTCCTGAGACCACCTTAATAGCACCCTTGGTGCTGATGAGAGGAGCTGCATGTGTCCACATGCACCGCCCCCTACTGGCTATAGAAAACCCAGCCTTCATGTTTCATCCGTGAGCACGGGCTTCTCCAGGGCCTGCCCTCTTCTGCCCAGCCACTAGAGATGCAGCATGTGGGTTCATGGGCTCCTGAAGCCAGTAGATAGCAGTGGGCGTGAGCACAGGTTGCTCCTCCCATCAGCCCTGAGGGCGCCATTTCGGTGGTCTCGGGCTGTGTGTGCCGAGGTGGTCCAGCACTTTTCTTGTGAGGTTCTTTCAGGCTCGATCACTAACAGTTGGATCTCGGCCAAGGAGGAGAAGCAGATGACCCCTCCCTGAGGGCTGTCGAGTCCCGACAGAGCAGGCCTCGTGCTTCATCTCTCACGTGCAGTGCCCAGGTCTACCGTGACGAAGGCACCATGCTCAGGCTTCTGAGACAGGCCATGAACTTCTTCCGCAGGAGGATGGACCCCACCCAGGAGCAGCAGCCACAGCAGATGGAGCTCCTGAAAGGTACCTCTCTGTGTATCTCCTAGTTCCCCCTGCAAGGAGTCTCGCCAAAGGGATTTCCTCAACTGTAAACAGGGGGTTGTGAGTTCAAAAAGTCACTGTGCGAGGGGGTGGCTCTGTCTTTGTGTGTGTGTGTGTGTGTGTGTGTGTGTGTGTGTGCGCGCGCGCGCGTGGGGGCATATGCATGCACGCTGGGGGGCTGTGGGGGACGGTGTGGGGGAACGTCCCCAAGTCCCTGGGTGCCAGAGAGCTAGGCTGACATCAACTCAAGCTCCAACTCTCCCGTGTCTACAGCAGTAAAGTGCTGGCATGGTGGGTGCTCTGGGACTATTTTGCCCCTGCGTTTTCCCACCTGCTTGTGACAGCACGTGCCCTTTTATCTTTCTAGTAGGCAGGAAACTCTCGAATTTGAGGGTTATTTAGGTCTTATATCCCGAAAGGGCTAGTATTTTTTATTTTTTGAGAAGTTTTTGCTGTAGGACACGTGGGCTCACTGGGAAGACAGAAAGACAGAGAGACAGAAAGCGAGAAATCACTCCCCAGGGGGGATGGCCACGCCGCAATCCCTTCTCCTCCATTCTCCTCTCGGGATCTTGGTCACACACGCACACGCGCCTGGCGTGAGTTTAAGCCACTGGGTCCGGGATTCGAACCATGGTCGACTACATGGGAGTCCAGTGACATAGCCATTATGCTAACTGCTGATCCTCCCCCTTCCCCCCCAAAAGGGCTAATATTTTAAGCCAAGTCGATGAGTCATATATCTGAAAAGTTTGGTACATTGTACAGGCATACGGCTGGAGTCATATCCCAAATTACTAAGTACCAGTTTTTCTTGCACAGAATTTAAAAAGAAAACCAAGAGCAATTCACCTGCAGTTTTAGGCTAAACTTAAATTTCCAGATATATTTCTGTGCTCTGTCTGGTGAGATACTTGAGAAACTGTAGGTGCTGCTACTCATTATGTTGGTGAAAATTATGAAAGTAGATAATACATTAATAGGGGAAGCTTAAAGTCTCTCCATACGTAGTTATGATAACAACTAACTTTACACTATAACTTGTGCAATGCACTCGCAGTTCTAAATGGCTAATGTGTGAGTCAAAAGTTAGTCACAACAACCCTATTGGCAGAAAGTAGTATTATTATCCTAGTTTGACAGGGAAAACAGAATTAGAGAAGTTCAGAAACGTACCCAGGGCCAACAGGTGGTAAGTGTAGGATTTCTTTGTACTGAGTGATTACATGTCAGGTAACTAATGTGACCTTTGTTTACCTATCTTTTAGGTGACACCAATATGAAAGCTGTACAGGGAGTGGTGACAAGACTCTATAGTGATTATGGCTTGATTAATGAGTCGATCTACTTCAGTAGTGATGTTGTCACTGACAATTTGCCTCTAAAAGTTGGACAAAAAGTTACTGCAATTGTGGAAGAAAGGGAAGCATTCTATGAATTGAACACAATCAAAGTAAGATGTATATGTGTTTGGGCATTGCCTCTTAGTCTACTGGGCTTTTTCCCTTTCTTATTATGTGTTTATCTAACCTCTAATGTGACCTGTAGAGTGGACCTACAATGAAATAGGAAGTCCTACTCCCCTGAATGTGCAACTAATTTTGTTCTAATATTTATAGTGATTTCTAATTCTAAGAGTAAAAAGTGTGTATCTGTTCTCCTATTAGCTAAACATTAAGGCTTACAGCAATAAATATTGGACTGTATTTAATACTGCAACTTCATTTTATCAGGAAAAAAAAAACATTTAATGATGTGTATTTAAAACATTTCCAGGGCCAGCAGGTAGTGTGGAGGTTAAGGTGACTGGATTCTACATGGCCAATTGCTCGGTTAGAGTCCTGGAGCTGGCGGCTTAAAAACTGGGCACATGTCAATGCACACCCAAAATCCTGAGAGGAGAACGGAGGAAAAGAAATTGTGGCATACTCACCCCCACAGGGGGTAATTTCTCACTTTCCCTCTTTCTGTCTTTTTCTGGCAAGTGTATGCTCCCTTTAGTAAAACTGAAAAAAAAAATGAAAAAAAATGAAATGGCTTTACTGAGGTTTAATTTGCATACCACAGCATTCTTTCAGAAGTAGAGTTCAGTGACCCTTTGTAGATTTTCACAGCCCTGTAAACATCACCTCAGTCCAAATATTTACTATTGAGTCATCTGAAAAGTCATGACATATTTTTCTGTGATTCAAAATGCATCATGACTTTTCCGATGAAAAATTTCAATAGCTGTTACCAAAATATCCTTTTACTTTATTGTACTAATAGATTGTCGCAGCAGCAGGCTGTGAGACCGTCTGTTTGCAAATTGCAAATGCTGGCAATTATAAGAATCTGTGATTTTTGCAAATATGAAAAATGAAAGGTGGGGACAGCAGGGGTTAAGGCACTAGACTCCCACATGGCTGACCACAGTTCTAGTCCAGGACCCAGTGGCTTGAAATCACACCAGGCACATGTGCCTATGTGCCCAAAATTCCAAGAGGAGAATGGAGGAAGAGGAAGGATGGCTTGGCCACCCCCCACCAGGGGGCGGTTTCTCACTTTTCCTTTTTCTGGCAAGCATGTGCATCCTATGACAAAAACATTAAAAAAAAAAATTGAAAGGTAATCTTAGAACTGTATCTGCATTTCATTCAATATTAATGAGAATACAGCAATTTGGGGGGAGGAGGTTGTCAAAAAAAGACAACTGCAAAGTGAAAGTTATAAAGATACAGGAATTTATTGAACTTATGTATAAAGTTAGCACAAAATAAGGGTCAGACCCTGGGGCATACAACCAGACCCCACCAGCAGTAGACCCTGAGAGAAGTGACAAGTTCACTGGATCTGAATAAGCAAGTTTCTTTTAACAAGAAAAAGCTATGGTAACTCCTTTAGAAATAGGTTATGCTGAACTAACTTGTGGGAGGAATGCTCCACAGGGCTTGTTTTCCAAAGATAAGTA